GGAAAATCTTGTTGTAAGATTGAACGAAGACGTTTCCATGAGACGATTCCTTGCATCAAAGGTATGTGTGCTTTTGATTGTGGGTCATATATGTGTACTTAAAGTATCTTCATGATGTGTAAGATCGGATGCTTAAATTTATTGGGAGTTCTATTTTCGTTTCCTTTCCATTCGGGAGATTTGTAACCGTCCAAGCCCATTACATATCGCTGTTAGTCTCATAGTTTTAAAACACGTCTATTAGGGAGAGACTTCCACACCCTTATAAGAAATGTTTCGTTCCTCTCTCCAACCGAGGTGGGATCTCACAATCCAACCCTCTTAGGGGTCCAACGTTCTCATTAGCACACAGTCTAGTGTCTGGCTCTGATATCATTTGTAACCGCCCAAGCCCACCAATAACAGATATTGTCCACTTTGGCCACTATGCCCTTGCTAATATTCTTAACATATCCTTTACTAGCACCCTCACCAATATCTTTAGCCTGTTCGAGACTAGGAACTGTAATTTAAAAGCACCAGTAAGAACGTCCTAAAGAAAACATGCAATGCAATCTTAAACATAAAGGAAAACTTTTCCCAAATGCAAATAATATGGCAGAACTTTAAAAGAAATGCCTGAAGATGAATGTAAAATTAAAATCTGAAGGGGGTCAATTGTGTGCTTTATTACTTGTTTGATCTCATTCATTTAGATTTCAAAGAGCTAATAGACTTGCCTTGAAGCTTTTTCAGGATGAACAGGTGCCCATGGAATCGACAATAATGTCCATTTTAGAGGAGAACAAATTTTTACTGCAAGAGTTGGACGCTTCAAGAGAACAGCTCGAGTACTTGCATAAACAATATGAAGAATTTGTGACGAAATCAAAGGCAGATGTTGAGTTGTTTATCAAAGAAATTAAATCTCTTCGAGATACACAGTTGGACATGAAGCAGGAGTGCAGCCAATTGACGAAGGAGAAATCAGAATTAGAGGTAAATTTCTTCTTTTCCCCGTGTAGGTTTCTGTGATGTCCCACGTTGGCTGGGGAGGAGAACAAAAACACCATTTATAAGAGTGTGAAAACCTTCGCCTAGCAGACGCGTTTTAAAGCCTTGAGGGGAAGCCCGAAAGGGAAAGTCCAAAGAGGACAATATCTGCTAGCGGTGGATATGGGTCGTTTCAATGCAGGTTCCTAGTAAGAATGATAGACACTGGATGAGGATCCCCTTGTTTAATACCTCAAGTCAGAATGATCTTACCTCTAGGCCTTCCATTGATAATGATCGAAAAGCTGACACTAGTTGGACAACCACAAGTCCATTTCCTCCATCTATGACCGAAACCTTTAGCCAAAAGAAGTGCACCCGGAAAATCTCAACCCACTTTATGAAATTCCAGTCATCAAGAACCTCATTAGTAACTAAGGAAGCATCCAAGATTTGTCTGTTTTCCACAATATCATTTGGTTTTCAGCAATAGTGTGAAGGACATGCTTCAATCTATTTGACGAAACCCAAGCAATAATCTTATATGCACAAGGAACGAGGCTAAGAGGACGATAATCAGATACTGATTTTGCATCCAGCTTCTTTGATATCAAGCTTATATAAGTTTCATTCAAGGGATCATTTATAATACCCCAATTATAAAAAACATCGATCACAACTAAAAGGTCTTGTTGGTAGTGATCACGAGTGTTCGAAGAATTCAGAAGTAAAACCATCGGGACTCGGTGACTTACTTGATCCCAAAGAATTCACAGCTAGGAGGACCTCATCTTTGGTAAACTTCTCCAGATAATTAGCTTGCTCTTCACTTATTGGACACCAACCAAGGTTGGTAGGGAGGAAACTTGGGGTGCCCTTTGTGTATAAAGCTTGATAAAATCAGTGGATTCTTTTTCAGTCTCCCTTGATGTGAATAGGCTATGCCCTTCACCTGATAACACTTCCATAACGTAACTTTTCCTCTTTCGGGCCGCCACAATGCGATGTTTTTTTTTCCTTTTTTTGGTGTTTTCATCCCCTTCCTGGAGCCACTGTGACTTACATCCTTGGCGCCAATAAATGGATTCTTTTGCTGTCAAATATTCAATCTATTCACGGATAATTCTCCTAGAAATCAGCTGATCAAAGGATACTGGTCCAGCATCTTCACCACACCTACCTTCGTTCTAATGTTTATTACCTCTCTAATAACATGTAGTCTTTAATCTGTTTTCTGTAGAGAGAATTTCAAACTGAAAGACAAATTGTGATTGATGTTCTTAATTAACTTATATTCCGGGTGCCTCTCTCATGCCCCACTCGGCATCTGTCTAACGTATCTTGCTACTTTTGTGGTCTTAAAGTTTGTGGTTATTGCGGCTCCAGGAATTTCAAATGATTTTAAGCTTGATTTCGAGTATTATGTAGAATAGGGAAAATCATATGCGTATCAAGTTTACAAATATCATGGATTGTGACATGAAACTTTCTTAGAAAAGGATTTAGTGATCTACATTGCTGCAATAGAAGATGGTTCCTACATAGATATTAAGTTTTTTCTCCGTGTATGCAATGTTTATTTGCCTCTCTAATAGCATGTAGCCTTTCTTCTGTTTTCTTTAGAGGGTATTTCAAACTGAAAGACAAAGAATGGAGCAAGCCAAGATCGCTAATCAAAAGCTTCTTCATGATTGTGAAATCCTTCACTACCGTCTTCAAGACTCTAGTGTTGACTTTTTCATTGGGGAAGGAGATAAATTAATTTTGGAAACTGCTTCGACTGCTCATGATGCTATGGATCTATTGGCGGCATCTGATAATCACATTAGCCTTATTTTAGCAGAGGTGCCTTTAAAATGCATTTGATTTGGGTCTCTCTCTATTGCCCCCTTTATTTTCTCTCATTCTTCGTTCATCCTGATCCTTAACACTTCAAGTTTTGGTACATACGCACAGGCGAAGCTTCGTGCACACGATGCGGATGGCACGGCTGGATCAGCCAGTCCGAATGGGGCATGTGAAGGAGCACCTGACAAAGTATTAAGAAACATACTAGCAGATATGTTCGTCGAAAATGCGCGATTACGGACACAGGTGAACTCTGTCATTCGCTGTGCTCTAAATGCAAATCCGACCCATGAGAAAGATGAAAATGAATCTCTCTTGGGAGTGTAAGAAATTGTTGTATGTATGGGCCTTCTTCTGTAGTGACAAGAACAGGGGAGCTTGCTCTTGATCAGGTAACGAAAAAGCAAGTGCTTGAATTGAATGTGTGGCTTAATTTGGTATTTGTTGGCCATTTGATGAAGTTTGATTGAGATTCAACTGAAGAACATCACCACTTCTCTCTCTTGTTTCATTGACAGTCTCTTCATGGCAAAGGGGGAAGTTCATAAAGAGAAACAGAATGAAGTAAATGCTCAAATGGACGATGGGATTCTTTTGGAAGTTTTGAAATCTGAGTTTGAAAAGAAAAAAGTAAACTGTTGTTTGAAGGTTGAGTATAAATGAAGTGATGTATTTAAGTATGTGTAATAGTTCGTTTTCGATCCATTCATATATCAATTTTTAGTTTAATCCGTCACGTCCAGTAAATGTTAAATTTGTTGATGATGAACTTGTATGCCATAAAACATAAGTTTTTAATATGATAAATCATTTTAAATATTTTAAAATCACTCTCAAACATACCATTAGAAATTTAGAGGTGGAATGATATTTTTATTTTCTAAATTTACATTAATTCTTTAAATAGTATGTCGATGTTAAAAATTCGATCGACTGGAAACCTAAATATTTTGAAATTTTAAATATAAGTGTTTATAGTTAAAAGGTTGAAACAAGTTTCGGGAATAGCTCAATTGCGGGGATAACTCAGTTGGGAGAGCATTAGAAGGATCGTGTTCGATCCTCTCTCACCAAAAATTCGTTTTATTTATTCCTTTTGTTAATGGGCTGGGCTTTTTAAAACTGTGGAGGCCCATATTAGAAGCCGCCGACAAACTATAGGATCCGAGACCCGATTTGACCCGTTTTAGTCACTTCTCTTCGTCTCCTTCTGTTTCATTGTTTCTTATTAGTTAAGAGGATTAGTTAGCTTTTCTTTTATGTTTACTCTTCCTTAGAGGATTAGTTAGTTTCTTTTTTTTTTTTTTTTTAAAAAAAAAATTTATAAACAGACCCACTTTACTTCTTTGATAAATAAATAAGTAATACATACCCGTGCAACAATACATATGTTCTTTTGGCTTGGTCTATAGGACATTGCCTAGCCAAAAGGTTATCACGAGTAAGTCCATTTAGGAAACCAAAGGCACGATAAAGTAGCATACACCAACTTTCTAATTACCCATTTTCCAACAATCAATGGAATGAAACGAACAAAAACTAGTAGATTAAAAAATAAAATTACCTTGATTGTGGATAAGCTTCTCCATGAGTATGAGGCGTTTTGGAAAAGTCCAAAATAAAGTTACGAGAGCCCAAGATCAAAATGGATAATAGGATTGTGATTCCTAACAAATGTAAAGATGGGAGCGTTTGTTGCTGCCATTAACAAACAGCTTCAAAGTTTCAACTAGTCGAGACAGAAATGAAACTGCGGAAAATTTGAAGTGAATTATAGAATGGATTCTTTCGTGACTTTAAAATTGACATGATTAGCTTGCCAACTTTGAATTTTGACCCCCACATTCTTCCCAGCTTCATAAAATATCTACATTTAATATCATTGCCGACCACCAATATAAACTAACATATAAAATAAATAGAAAGTTAATGGATAAAAATAAAATATTAAATCATTTAAGATTAAAAAAAAGTGTATACAAATAAATTATATTGAGTTCATATATAAATTATATAAAAAAATTAAAATTTTAAAAATATTTTTTATCATTTTTTTCTTAACATTTAAACATAATTTAAATTTTTTTAAAGATAAATGTGTACCCAAAAATCAAATGAATTAAGTCGGTTAATGACTGTGGGACCCACAGGAGAAACATCTCAATTATATATAGATAAAGTGTAAATTAAATGATTTATTTATTTATAAATAAATGACAAAATACAGCACGACACGTCGACATAAGTATGGCCGTGACTGGGATGACACAGCCAAGCACTCAAATAATAACAACAAAAAGGAAATAATAAAATATAATAAATTATTAAACAAGGAGAACCAGTCAAAGTAGGGAAGTATCTAGAAGAAGTTCAAAACTAGGCCAAACAATGTGGCGGAGAGAGCGGCGGCGACGGTGTTAGCGGAGGAGAACGGTGAGCCGCTGCCGCTGCCGCCGGGGTTCGACGCTGGACCGGAGCTTGGAGATGTTGCAATGGAGGTTGCAGGAACGTTGGATCTGGTGGCGACAACGTTGATTGCTAATTTTTGACCTAATTCACAGTCTTGGTTCTCCGTGCTGATGTAGTAATGCGCGCCGGGAGAGGTGAGCACGATCGTTGCGGGGCTCGAGTCGATGCTGTCGCCGATCTCATCGTCGTCGCTACATATATCGAACGATCTCTTTGTAACTCTTTCCACATCATGTACTTCGGGTCGGAAATTGAACACTATAACGACACCAAATTTAAATGTCGGTAGATAAGTGATTGTAAGTCTGATGTATTGAACTCATAAATTTGTGGAGATCATAAAAAATTTGATAACCAAATCAGACCAGTAGAATCAAAGTTACCTAGAGAATCGCCGACCGCGAATGTGTTGCGGGCAGCCCAGTTGGTGTAGAAAGCGGCGCCGCCCTGGGGGACGGTCCATCCGACGGCGTCTCCAACGACATGGGTCACTGGAGCTGCCTTTGGGGGTGGTGGACGAGCGTTTGACGGTGGAGGCATAGGTCCAGAGGCAGCGGCTGTAACATTGATTGCTAATTTCTGACCTTGCTGGCAGTGCCCATCCTCGCTGCTAATGAAATAATACTCGCCGGTAGCGCTGAGGAGGATCGTTGCAGGGCTAACGTCGATGTCCTCGCCGATGTCATCGTCGTCGCTACATAAATCGAAGGATCTCTTCGTCACTCTAACTACATCGTCCCCGGCTGCAAAATTGAACACTGCAACAGAATTGGGTTATTGGGTGATTCACAAATTTCAATTTCAAAACCTCAATTCAATCGGAGAAGGGCTCAGATTCTTACAGAGAGAATCGCCGACAACGAATTCCTTTCCGGTAGCCCAGTTGACGTAGAAGATGTTACCGCCCTGAGGAATGCGCCAGCCAGTAGCGTCTCCGACGACATGGGTCACGGGAGCGCGTCCGGAGGTCGGGGGAGGTGCTTTGGTAGAAGGCGGCGTTGGAGTTATCGGGGCGGCGGGGGCGGCGGTGACGTTGATAGCTAACTTTTGACCTTGTTGACAGTGAGTATCCTCAGAGCTGATGAAATAGTATTCCCCTGCCGTTGAGAGAAGAATGGTTGCTGGTCCAATTTCAATGGAGTCGCCAATTTCATTGTCGTCACTGCACAAATTAAACGACGCTTTCGGTACTCTCGTAACATCGTCCCTATCCGTAGTGAAATTAAACACTACAATAACAAAAACCCAATTCATAAGTTCATTAGTTTCTGCTAAAACAGAGGATCTTAGAGAAACAGAGGATTTTAGAGAAACAGAGCTGTAAATTTCTTACCCAAAGAATCACCGACGGTGAAATTTTTACCATTGGCCCATTTAGCGTAGAAATCAGCGGTAGGAGGGATTCTCCAGCCGGTGGAGTCACCGACGACATGAACGGTCTGAGCGGCGGAGTGATGAAGGAACAAAAACAGAGCAAGACCCAGAACAAGAGCTACTTTAGCGGCCATTTTTAGTTGTTCCTGTGTTAATCTGCAAGCGAATATGAAGATGAAATGTTGAGAAGAGTAATGGGTGCATTTATAATGAAATTGGATTGAAAAGTAAAAGAGAAGATAAGCATAAGATTGAAGTATTGTACGGTGATTCAACGAAGACGACGAGAAGCTACGGTCACTGCCAGGGGGCAGCGCCGGTCAAAGTCTGGATATGTGCTTTAGAATGATCAACGATTTGGGGCTGCTTGCGAATGTGAAAATGTAAATAATATTTTAAAGAATTTATAGAATGGAAAAGTAAAGTTTAGAACTTGAAGGGTTTGAATCGGTGTGGATTTTGTTTTGTTGTTCATATTAATTTTAGTTGAAAAATTGAGTCTTTTGTGAAGACTTATTTGTGTAAGCTTTTATTTTCTTTTAAATAATATGAATTGCAAGAGTTCTAAGTTTGATTTGGTCTTTTTTTTACACTAATTATTGTTGATTTGTTGATGAAAAGTTGAAAATTAAAATTATGATTATTTTTTTTTTTTGGAACAGTTAATATTGTTTTATTATCTGATCAATTTGATTTTCGAGAATCTTCACATTTCATCGACGTTTACATTACATTATTTACTTCTTGTTTCTTAGAGTAGAATTATTGTCAAGATAACCTTATGGGGTTTCATACCCTTATAAGAGAATGTGTTGGGGGCGAGTATCCTTGCAAAACGCATGGTGTATGACTTTGATACCATTTGTAGCAGTTCAACCGACATCCTCACTGACACACCCTTTAGTGTCTGGCTCTAATATCCTTCATGTTACGTGTCACGTTAATTCTTTTAAGATTTTTTATTCATCCTATCATCAAGACCTGTAGGAGTCCAAACCCATGACTACCAGATATTGTCCTCTTTGGACTTTCCCCTTTCTGGTTTTTCGTTTTAAAACGTGTCTACTAGAGAGAGACTTCCACACCCTTGTGAGAAATGTTTCGTTTTCCACTCCAACCGATGTGAGATCTCACAGAATCACTATCAATCGGATGCAATCTCAATTCATTCATTACCTCACTTTTACTCAATGTCACATTTTTAGTTCAACAAGTGAAAATGAAAATTTAAACCTCCAACTCTCAGGATTAACTGTTCTAACTAGCTGAGCTTTATTCAAATTGTTATTTAGCGTTTTAGCTCAAATATATTTTAAGCACTAACAATTATTCTTTTGTTAATGAAAGATGTTAGGTACATTGGTTTCCGTATTCTTACTAGTATTTGTTTATAAGTCAGCACATTTATCATAAGATTTGATATCGGGTATTTGAAAAATTGATATTAAATTATGTTTTCATGACATGTGGTATGCAAATAATATTATTCATTGGGTTCATAACAAAAGTTGTAGGAAACTTCCCAAACGTTACATATTTTATATAATATGGTATAGACTTTCATGTTTTTCCATTGCCACTTTTGATTTTGAACTTTTTAATCCTTAAATTTGGCTTTTCTATCAAGACTCTTCAATTCAAACTCCGTATTTTCTTCTCTCGACAAAGACTTTCACTTACCAAATCAAGACTTGTTGTTCTTTATATCGTACACGTTAGATGAAAAAAGATTTAGAACGGTTTTTCAACAAATCTCTTCATCATTTTCTCGTAAGAGCTTCTGTTTACTTAAATCTTGTACCAATAAAAATATTTTATGTAAGAAATCGTGTTAATTGAAAGAATATACAAAAATAACTCGACCGAGTTGATGATTACAAAAATTTCGGGTAAGATGTAAGCAAAGAGACATTAAATCTAATAACCTTCCTCCGGTAGGCATCCCGACCCTCTTACAATCCTACTGTTCCTCTCTAGCTAAGTATTCTGCTATCAAGAGTCCCACAAAACGTCCTCTATCATAGAGCAACAATCTTTGTCATGAACCGAACATAACCCGAACAAGCTCAAACAATGATTTCATAGTATAATGTCGTCCTTCCATTTTTCCACATTTTTGTACAAAAAGTCCATCATTATGTCACTATGATTATGTTCATATCTACACATTAATACCGTTTACATTACAAGTGTACGATATAAAGCTGACTGTGTCCCCATTAAGCCAGGGACCATTAAGAGAATTGACTAGCTAATAATATCAAGTCAGCAGCAGCCATCCCCGTGTCCAAGCAAATATTTGGCTTTAATGGTCCAAGCCCACCACTAGCAGATATCGTCCTCTTTGGGCTTTCCCTCTCAGGCTTCCCCTTAAGGTTTTTAAAACGTGTCTGCTAGGGAGAGGTTTCTACATCCTTATAAAGAATGGTTTGTTCTCCTCCCCAACCGATGTGGGATCTCATCGCTACAAAACTTCAAACACGGAGAAAGCAAGATAGGCAGAGTAATGGAAAGTTCTTCTACTTCATTTATTATGATCCAACGGACACAAATGCCTGATATCAGTGATGCTAAGTTTGACATACTTATGGCATACACAGGTATCAAGTTTCACTAACAATGGCTATCAGTTGGCTTAGATTGGCTTAGATTGTAGCAGCTAAAAGAAAGAACAAGAACATAAAGAACAAAACTAAACCCATCTAACATCAGAAGAGTTATCTTTTTGAAACCAAGTCTAGCCTTAACAACGTTAAAATTACAGTCATTCAAGCAATTTCAAACTTACAAAAGTGTGGTGGCATGTTCATTTGGCTGTGCAAGTTGTGATGGTGACTGGGGAAGGGGGGAGCAGGAGCGAAGTATTGAAGACGTATAACTTTGTTACTTACCGGTTTCGATCACCTCGCTCTCGTTTTTGTTCACTCTGTCCTTTGCCTGAATGTCGTGCTTTTGTGCATCGTTTTCCATGATCGTTCCCTCAGATGCTGGAGTTCCTGCAACACCATTTTCCTTGATGTTACTAGCATCTGCCTTTTCCTGTTTCATACAGCATGATTCATTAGCTTTCTCAGCTTCAGTTTGTGGTCTGTTTTCCCCTTTATCTTGTCCACCCACCAATGCCACACTTTCAACAGCAGTGGCTACCTCTTGATTTTGAACATTACTTTGATCTTCTACTTCTTTGCCATCTTCAGCATCTAACTGACCGTTTTTGGTTATCGTCGTGTTACCGGGCACATTCTCAATGCCGGGTTCGTCTTTTGTCTTGACAACGTTCTTGGCCTGTTCATCCTTGGCCGTTTCAATTTCCTTGTCTTTTGTTTCGTCTTCCTTCTTGGCCTCTTCATCCTTGGCAGTTTCAATGTCTTTTTCAGGCTCTTCATCCTTGCCATTCCCAGTTTCTTTTTCTTTTGTTTCATCAACCATTTTAGGCTCTTTATCCTTTTCTTTCTCGATTTCAGTGTGCTCCTTCTCGGACATTTCGACATCTTTAACATCAGTTTCCTTTACACCCTCGGAGTTCTTAGCTTCCTTCTTTTTCGAGCCCGGAGACTTTCTAGCTCGTTTCCTTGGGGGATCTTCCTGTGGGGGAGGCGTTGTCTTAGCCTTCTCACTAATCCTAGCAGATCTCCGAGGTGTCTCACCAGTACTCCAATCAAAATCCGATAATGCAACATCTACAGAGTGTGATTTCAAGTACTGCTCGAGCTGTTTTCGATTACTGATCTCCTCGCCCGTAGGTGCTATGAATATGACTTCATTCTTTCTTGGTGTACCTCCCTTCTTGGGTGATAACTGGAATGAAATAAAACAGGAACTATCATGATTATCATCATCAAAGCCAAAGAATGAAAGGGAAAAATAGAATCATTCACACCCAGAATGATTTTTCAAAACAAGAACCAGCTGGTGCAAGTAATAAACGTTATCCTCATTCAAGGGAACACAGTTTTCAGGTTAAAAAAGAAAACAAATCTTTAATTCCCCCTCTCGTCGGTGTTGTAAAAGCATGGGGCACACTAAAATACGTGGGGTCGGGTGGGGTTAGGGAAGCCATACATACATATATATAGAGATGTCCAGGAACAGGGCAGAAACAAGGAAGCCTTTCCCGTCCCTATCCCGGCCTCCTATTTCATTTCCCATCTCCGCAAAGTTTTTCATTTATTTTTATGGGGATAGGGGCGAGGATTCCCCGACAAGAGACATTTTCCTATATATATTAGAAAACATTCCTTTCGAGTAAATTTCTAAGGAAAAATATGTTCGAGATGGGAACGGGAATTTCCATCCCTAGCCCCGTTTAGCTAACGAGTAGAAATCTCTCTCCACTCTCACCCCTAATCTCTCTTTTTCTCGACCCCGATTAGGACTTCAAGAACCGAGACATGCACCTGAAGCGAGTCGTATTAGGGGTGATTCGCTTCGAATGTGGGCTTTTCCTGTTGAGATAGCTCATTAGCTTGTACTGGAGCTCCTCTGTTTCTAAGGTTAGCAGAATGTGATTACAAATTTGTGAATCTGTAAGGCACACATCCTACAACCTGATTCTTATAGAATTGATGAACTTTTGAAAGAGAAAGCCCTGTTTTTCTTCCCCAAATATCTCTAACTTTTCCTGAATTTCCTGAAGCCAAGCCCTAAATAGCATCAAAAAGGGCAGAAACTATGAGCAGAAGCAGCCAATTTGTAAGGCAAACACTTCCCAAATCAGGAAAAACCCTAATCACAAAGGCAAAGAGCGAAAACATTGACAAACCCTAGAACTAAAAACACAGCAGCAAGCACAATTCACCAAGAACAGATTAATACCAACATCAAAAACAGAGAATCAAGCAAAAATTAGAGACACCCAGAAACAGATCCAACAGAAAAACAAAGAAATAAAAAGAATCAAAAAGCTGAAAACACAAGAACACAGAAGAAAAAAGAGAGTGAAAAAAAAAAAACCAGTTTCTTCCAAGAAGGTGGAGCTGGAAGATGAACAGAAACTTCATCTTTAGCTCCTCCCTCAACTGGGTTTTGAAGCTCTTCTTTGCTCTGCACTCCCACTTCGTCTTCCATCTCTTTTTCCCACTTGCAAACAACACAAACTTTCAATTCGCTTTGGCCTTAGAGAGTCAAAACTCTTCTATAAGCTCTCTCTCTCTCTCTCTCTTTCACTCTCTCTCTCTAGATTAAGATTAAGATGAAGATTAAGACTAAGACGCATTTATGGGTAGAATCAGAAGGGGTCGAAGCTTCATGAAAGTTTGGAGCTTAGCTTCACCAATAAGTGATGCCTTGCCTTATCTCTCTCCATTCACTTTTATCCATACAAATTTTGCTCACAGAGTAATTTATAAATTAAAAAGAAAAACCCCCAAGAAATGTGATTACAATTAATCTGTACCCAATGAATTAAGTGATCCCTAATCCATATTTTGATTCTAAATCTTTTGCTAAGTTTCTTTAATCAATGAACCAACCAGTTAGAAACCATTAGCCGCGTTTTACTCCCCAAAACACATTTTTTAGCGAACAAAACGGTCAATACACGCGCCAGACAATGGCCGTGAAGCCCACGTCCCTGTACTATTATTATTATTATTATTATTATATAGTTTAATTTCTATTATTTGTTTTGTCCATTTTAATTCTTATGGTTTAAATATTGTCAATTATGCATCATATTTTTAAATTCTTTTAAACATAAATTGTCTTTTGATTATAAATTTACATAATATTTAATTAATTAGAAGATGAATTATAATTTATTTTATATATTATTTTTTTAATATTTTTTAATTAATCTAAGCTTAATTAATGGATAATACCTAAATTATAATATTAAAGATCAATTACTTAATTTTCTACTTTAAAATTAATGAAATAAATAATATTTACGGAGAAAAGAGACTAAATTGAAAATTAGGGTCTTAAAATAAATATACTTAGATTTTAAATTTTGTCTCTAAAATTTTTTAATTTGTATGGTTTTTTTTTCAATAAATTTATAATATTTTCGATATTCTTTTAAAATATTGTGATGTAAAATATATATATATATATTAAATTTAAGGATTTTATTTTATAAAAAGATAAATGTGAAGCCACGCGGCGGTGGGGGAGTTGAAAAAAATGACGGCACACGTGGAAGAGTGAATAGCGTTTTTTGGATAAGGTCGCTTATCAACTGTATTGGAATCTCACTTTCAGGTCCGCCCACGATTCTCCCTTTTATTTCTCTTTTTCTCCCTTCCAACTGGGGTCTTCTATCATCCACTCTCCTGCCGCCACGTGTTTAGTAAGGTTACATCTATATATTCGCGTAATATTATTATTCTTGGTGGGCCCTCTTTGAAATTTTGCTTCTAATTGTGAATAATTAGTTTTTTTTAATAAATAATATTAATAAATAAATTTTGCTTCTAAAATTTATAATTTTTAAAATTATAAATTTTCGAAACTAAAAGAGTTTTCAGATCCTTGTTTTTATTTTTAACTTCACCTCCTAAATCAATTATCAAATACAAATTTAAATAATTAAATAGATTTTTTTAATTTTAAGGTGGATAAAAAGCAAACTCGTATTTTTTAATTTTGGCATAATATATTATCCTTATATTGATTCAAATTTTAGAAATTAACTTTAAAATTAAAAATGTTTTTTTAGAATAATAAAAATTCTAAAAGCAAATAAAGCTATAGCTCATTTTGTTGGTCAACATTACTTAAAATCCTTTTTTTCCTTAAAAAAACGTGTTACCAAAAATATAATTAACAACTTATATTTAAATTTTATCCTCTTTATTACAAATAAGATGTGATAGAATAATTTGCATAATTATTACCTTATTAAACTTTTCCTTTTATTTTGTTCCGAATCAATTTTTTTTACTCGAAATTTATATCATTTTTTTTTAAATTTATTATTAACTAATAACAAATCTTTTAAAAAATATATTATAATATACTATACTTCTAAATTTTTCTAATAAAATAATAATATCTTCTAGGTAAAAATATAATTATGAGTTTAACCGACAGTAATTTTTATCTATTCAAATTTTAATATTATAATACATCACTAACTTATTTACGCAATAAATAATCTAAATGTGGCGAATAAGGGTGAGACTATAATTTATTATTTTATTTTACTTATGACGATTAACATTATAACAATAATGGATTTAAAGAATTTCGATCCAATTTTATTTTATAAAAATTGTTCAAGTGTACATTATTTGGACTTTAATTTGCCATTATTTTCAACTTATAATTAATATCACCATTACATCATATATATATATATATATACATATATAAATAAATAAATAAATAAATGGGTAGAAAAATGAATTGCAATTTATTATAAGATATAGAAACTATATAATTAATAGATATAAATGAACTTAATATTTGATAGAGATATAAAAATGGACTTACCACCTAATAATTTTTTTTATAAAAAAAAATTCATTTAAATCAATTAATAGCTTTTATCATGTATATTTCTTTAGGTTAGGTATGTAATTAACAAAACATATAATTTTCAACCTAATCTATAGCTTCTAATTATTAGCGATAATCATCATTTCAAGCCTATTTTTCATAATTAGTCTATTTTGAATCGGCTTGATCATAAAAGGTATAGGTTCAAACTCGATTCATGCACAAAATTGACATGCTTAAAACAATATTTAGATTTGGGTGAGTAAGTGCAACCTTTAAATAACTATGTGATGACTGAACTGAACCATCAACTTAACTCAATGAATCAAAGTTTATGTTATTAAAATTTATTGCAATTATATTTCTAATGTAATGTTGGTTTAAAAATTTGGATATTTTTTTAATTATTTTTACTCAACAAAACCAATGATATTAGAAGGTTTATTTTAGTATTTCTATTTTAAACTTTATTTCATTGTTTATATCACTTAATTTTTTTTTTTTTTTTTTATGAATTAAAAACTATGATATCTAAATTAAAAAAATTAAAATTTTCACTTTTTTATGTGACAGATTATATATACATACGTTTGTTTAAGTTAATTCAATGATAAGTTTATTGAGCCGACATGTCCGATTCAAATATTGTTAAGGTCAACTCATAGTTGACCTTTTAAAGGGTAATTCATATCTAATCTAATAAATTAATAAATTAATAAATTAATAAATTAAATGGTGATTAATGTGAGTGAGGACAAAACATGTAAGTGAGGACAAAACATCTTCTATGTTGAGTGACTTCCTAAAAATTTTACAGACAAACAAAACATGTTGAAAGTACTGTGTTGGTCTGTGTGGATACTGAAAGTACTTGTGTTGGTCTATGTGGATATTTTTCACTCCTAAGAAGCGAGGTGTACCTAACCATGTTGCTCGAGAATGCCGAGATCATCAAATGCCAAATCTAGATTTCAAACCCTAGGTGCGGATAACAATAGGCTTAAAGCCCAATTAATTTCCTTAATTAAATGATTAAAATAATATACATGTGGCTGCTTTTTTTTTTTTTTTTATTAGTGATAATATTGTATAGCTGTTTGAGGAATTATAATACAGTCAGCTACCTAATTCTAACCATACAATTAAATAATTAATAATACAAACCTTAATTTGATATTACAACATTAAAATACTTAAAAACATGCTTTGGAACAGCTTGGCTGATGCATGAAAGATAACGACACTGCCACAAACAAAGAATATCATACCACAAAAACATCTTATTGCAACAAAATCAAGGGCTAATTAAAGAAATAGCTCTTCATATTCCGATCAGGATCCAGATCCCGTACACCCATGTCCAACCTCGATCGTTTGGGCATCAACAACAGTCATTGTTACTCCGATCAGGATCGAGATCCCGTACACCCATGTCCAATCTCGATTGTTTGGCCATCAACAATAGTCATTGTTAGTTCGATCAGGATCGAGACCTCGTACACCCATATCCAACCTCGATCCATCGGGCATCAAGGGTGTCGTTGTTAGTCCGATTAGGCTAGAGATCTCGTACACCCATGTCCAATCCCAATCGTTCGAGTGTCGACGGTGATTAACACAACACCCTGATTCTTCAAATTGGTAACTTTGTCATAAAGGTAGAGAGAAAGTAAGGCTAAATCTTTCTCCATGGAAGACACAGGCAAAAGGGGCTTCAAAAGTGGGTTTATTTATGAACTTTTTACATTTTATGAGTTATAGAAAGGGTTACAAGTGAGAGAATCGTGTTCATACACACGTACTAAAGCAAACGACGGCAATGAGATTATGGTTTATTGAAGATATCTTACAGTGGCAAGGAAAGTAGTGTGTTATATATTTGATGAGATTAGGAAGATGCAGCGAGAGGAGGATGGTGAGGAGCTCCATGTGAGAAACCGGGCCGAGACGGATGCCTTTCCTCTGTTTCATACTGCTGTGGCATATCGTCTTCTTCGTCGACATCGGTATCCCAGAGAAACCGTGCGTATGAAGCTAGAAGATAGCTGTAAATAGAGAAAGATTTGCCACTAAATCAACTTTGAAGCAATATCACAAACAGAGAAGCAAACAGCTAAGAAAGATTCTCTCCATTTCAATGCTTGAACAAGAAATTGTATGACATAAACTTCACAAGCCTCACTGAGAGATTCCAATAATGAATTGTAACATGATCCATATATGAACAGAGATAGCTGTGTCAACTCTTGAAGAAATGACACAATGAAGAATGGAATCGATATCGAAATTGAACTCCGAATCTGTTCATGTTCTTCTACTCATGGCCATAATCAACTTGATCCATATATGAACAGAGATAGCTGTCTAAACTCTTGAAGAAATGACACACAATAAAGAACGGAATCGATATCGAAATTGAACTCAGAATCTGTTCAGGTTCTTGTATTCATGGTCATAATCAACTTGATCCATATATGAACAGAGATAGCAAACTAAACTCTTGAAGAAATGACACAAACAAGAATGGAATCGATATCAAAACTGAACTCAGAATCTGTTCATGTTCTTGTATTCATAGCCATAATCAACTTGATCCATATATGAACAGAGATAGCTGTCTAAACTCTTGAAGAAATGACACAATCAAGATCGGAATCGATATCAAATTGAACTCAGAATCCGTTCATGTTCTTGTATTCATAGCCATAATCAACTTGATCCATCATCAAAAGCAATCAAAAGTAAACAAATGAACCAGCAGTCCACAAGATAAGATTTCCAATCTGTTCTAAATGAGCTAAGAAATCAACTTAAATGCATTCAGATTCTTACCAATCATCAGGGGAACTTTTAACCGCCTGATCAAAATAGGTCGCAGCTCGTTGAGCATCCTTCTGTGTATGCCAAATAAGATCAGCATAAAGCGATAGAACACTTGAATCATTCGGGTCAGCTAGAATTGCCCTTTCACAAAACTCTTCGGCTTTGGCAAAGTCTCCATTAACCTAAACGGCAGAGCAGAATCAGAAGGGGCTGCCATTGAAGAAATTTCCAAGAGATTTCAAGCTAATTAAGGTACCTTTTTCAAGAATTTGGCATAATTTCCAAGTAGAAGAGCATTGTTAGGGTTCGCTTCAATCATCTTCTGATAATAAGCATCTGTGCTATTGTTAAACCCTGACTTATCAGAATCCCCTCCACCACCGCCGTTGGAACCTCTTCCGCCGCTTCCACCGCCTCCACCGCCACACACCCGTCCGCCGTCGCTTCCCGTTCCGCCGCCGATCACCAGCATCTGCAGAACGCATTCATCGCGAACTTCATCATTTGGCACTTTCAGACCCAACCCAGAATTCAAAAACACTCCAGAAATCGAAGACGACGGCGAATCTGAAGTGGGTCTGAGATCTTGATCTCGAACTGATCTCACTCCGGATTGAAAGTTATAGCTCTTGGGTAATGAAATCTTCTTTCTGGGATCTGTAATATCTAATTCTAGCAGATTTTGGGTTACCCTCTTCGCTGAATCATTCGATAAAGGCGGTGGAAGGTGAAAAGAGGGTGTTAACGAGAGCGATTTGGTTCTTCGAAACGGGAGGATTTGGTCCGATTCTGAAGGGGAGGATTTGGATTGGTGAAGCCAAGAATTAAGAATTGGGGTTGAAGAATTTCTCAACAGCATCATTAAGCGCTACGAAACAAGGAATTTGAGAGGGGATTGAAGGATTGATTTATGTGAACTGAAGAAGAACGACAAGTTGTTGATGGAAGTTAATGGAAGCAAAAGTGGGAGAGCCAGAAGGCGGCATGTATGCCTCCTTTCTTACAACTGAAGTGGCAAGTTGACATTTTATAGGGGCTGGCTATGGGATGATGCTCATTTTACATCAATTTTTAATTTCTTGTTCAAAGAAAATCTTAAATATGTATATTGTTTTCTATATTTTTGTAGATTTGTTAGTTTCAATGGGTTTTGCCAAATGAATGAGATTGAAGTAGAGAGAATTTTGTAAGAGATTTGATTTTACTAAATATTATAAAAAAAATTAGATAAATTACAAAGTTCAACATTTTATATATATATATATATATATAATTTACCAAAAAAAAAAAAAATGGAGTTCATCTATTTTATAATTTTTTTTTTTTTTTTTTTTACGAGGAATGGCAAAATTGACATAATTCATATACTTTATTACCTTGTTGACATAATTCAAATACTTTATTAAGGGGTATAGTAATTAAATCTTTTTAATAATCAAATTTTGTTTACAATTCTTATAGTTTCAAACATCTTAATTCTTGTGTATGTTAAACATAATTTTAATATTCACGAATGTTATAGTTTTTGAAACTTAGTTTTAATAAATTTGAAAGTTAGGTTTAATCATGATTTTTAACTGTCAGATTATATATAAATCATAAAATTTATGTATATATAAACATTTAAAAAGTTTGATACTGGGTGGAAATACATGAACAAATTTATCATTCAAAATATTTGGATCATAAAAATGAACTTTCGACTTCGAACATCGTCAATAAAAGACACAAGAGAAGGGTCCAACCACGACTCAAGATAAATTTTGGTAACATTAGAAATAACAAATTAATTATATTGTCTTTTATTTTTAATTTTTTTAAAGCTATGTCATCTACTAAAAGCTCAAGTACTTTCGGCTTCTCATAAACCTAGCAAAATACAATTTGACCACTACTTTTAAAATTTATTTAATGCAAAAATAAATTGTAGCCATACGTATAACTATGGGCAATGTGTCAACCAGGTTGTGGCAAAGACTTCTAATTATCTCAAGAACCAAACATATCTCCCATCATTCTGATGCTGCAAGCAACACAATGATTCCAAATGTTTCAACTGCAACCCTCGTAGACAATCTTGTACATCCATCAACCAAATCCCTGTCAAAGAAAACACCTACCAGAACAATCTATACAGAATTGTAACTTAGTAGTGAAAAAGATTGGTCGTTGTCACTCTAGAGGCATCAGAGAAGTTGAAACAATACAAAGAAAATTGACATGACGCAATACGAGGATGATGTGCACTTGCATAGCCCTACGCAAGGATGATGTGCACAAATCAAGGTTCAAAAAAGAAAAAAAGTTAATAATTAGAGTAGGATTCAGGAAAGTTTTAAGACACTTGATAAGAATATGATACAGAACAGGGCTTTCCATGACAGTTTACCTTTGGTATCAACATCTAATTGAGCAAGCTTTATCTACCTCGTCTAAGGCTTCTATATATCTTGAACATAGCTAAAATCAAGCAGCTTAACACTATTTATATTAACCTGCAATCCTTTACAAAAGAATGCTTTTTTTACGAAACTATCGTCTAAATCGAGAGCCCTTATTAGGTCTATTTTTTCCATCCAATGCAGAAGTCCAGAAGAAGAGGGACATCCAGAATAACACAGCAAAGAAAATCTGTACTCTGTCTCCAAATTTTGAGAAAATTGCTGGAAAACCTGCTTAAATTATAATACGAAGAGAAATAAGGAAACATATTTCATCCACATCAAAGAACCTCAGCATGACCAAAGCAATTCAAAATAGACCAAACAAGTTACAATATGAATTACATGCAAGAAAATTAGTACCAAGTTCTAACATCAAAAATATATAATGACTCGGTAGAATTTCAGAGTATTACCAACACCAACAGTTTTAATCTAATACAGACGATGAAGCTTAACAATCTCCCAGAATGCAAGAAAACTGCAGAAAAGCACTCCAATTGGCTATAATCAAGAAGCTATAGTTACAAAAAAGAAGTTTGGATAGAGTACACTAATTTAAGGTAGAAAACCTAGATACGTCTCAAATCACCGGAATATCCTTTCCAATTTCATCCCATTTCATACTAAATGATCACATGTTAGGCATCGTGAACCAAAATTAATATTTGGCCAAGGGAGTGTCAAAAAATGAATTGAAAGAAAAATTAAAATCTTGTTTGATAACTGTTTGATTATTGAAATTTAAGTCAATAAATATTACTTTGGCCTATGAATTTCTTTATTTTGTTATCTATGTTTTAAAAAACCAGTCAAGTTTTGAAAACTAGAAAAAAAAAAAAAATTTAAACATGTTACTGTTTTTGGAATTTGGCTAAAACTTTAAATGTTTGGTTAAGAAAGATGAAACTCATGGTAGAGAATTAATAAGAAATCAAACACAATTTCCGGAAGCCAAATGATTATCAAAGGCCTAAGTTATCCAAGCCAAACAACTTCAACTTCAGCGGGGAATCATCATCAAAGACCAAAAGTCTCCAGCAGCTATACGATAAGGGGCTAGAAAAGAAGAAGACACTTCATCTTACAATCGGAAAGTTGAATCCTAAGAAATCGCTATGATTCTTGCACGAAAGCAAATATATATAACTGTTGTTATGGAGGGGGAAATGGCTTTATATTTGCAGCTAAACATCTATACTCGGATATGTTTACGAATTGCTCATTAAAATTGACAATTGAACTTTGCTGACGCGGTTAATGAAAAATGATTACGGAGTAGTTGAACCTAATGAATCGCACACTCCAAATACCATTATTTCTTTTCCGTTGAGATTTCAACATATCTATGACGTATTGAGCAGAACTTTCTATCTAACAAACTTTCAAAATAAATCACGAGAAAATTAGATATAATTGCTAAGCACATATGTATCCGCAGACCTAGCGGAACAAATTTCCAGATGACTAAAAAAACGAAAAATATTTATGGATGATTAGCTTCTAAACAACCAGAACTCAAATGGATAAATAACACTGTTATTAGTTGTAGCAGTCGAGAAATAAGGACCACTAGCAGTCTAGCACAATCCGAGCAAAATTCAGGAGCTAATAATTTTTATTTTCAGTCATGAAGGCATGCTATAGGGATAAGGATAAAGCGAACTCCTCAACCGTTCATGGAAAAACGAAATAGAAATAAGTAAACACATAACCAAGCTCTATGCACTAAAATTTCTAAGCCTTAACACGAGCAGTTCAGTCCAATAAATGAATTAAGCACGAGAAGCACCAGCAAAGAATATTAACCTTTTAGACGAATCGGATCCTCGTCAGGAGGCGGATCGGAGTCCGGAGGCGGGCGTACTGCTGCAGTACAAACGGCGGATTTAGCACAGGGATTAAAAGAGAGCAAGAGAGATGAACGACGATGATGAAGCGGAGAGAAGGAAATTTCCGGACGAGCATGGAAGCTTGAGAAGAGAGGAATGGCGATTGCGGGGGCAGTAACGGCCCGTGAAGGATGGTAGAGAGCGTTCGAAGTAGAGAGAGAGGGCGATGCCATTGTGAGGAGAGAAAAGTCGACTATGATTCCATGTCTCTGTTCACTTCTCGTGAGTCCTTTACAATATGTGCTTTTAGCCATATGGGCCGGCCCAAATTCATTGGGTAATCTTGGTTGGGTTTTGGGCTTCCCGAGGTATGGACCACAATCACAAACTACACTATAAGCCCCTCCTCGAATAACTTCCCCTTAATCGAGTCACAACTCATTTTGTTGGAGCCCTCCAACAAAGTACATCTTTTGTTCGACACTTTAGTCACTTTTGACTACATTTCAAAATTCACAATTCTTTATTTAATATGTGAGGATTCTATCGTCATGGCTAAATTTAGAACATGACTCTGATGCCATGTTAGTAATTATGATATTGTCTACTTTCCGCGTAAGCTCTAAAAAGAAAGGTTAAACAAATGTATTTTATGTTAATAAAAAAATGTTAGAAATTATTTTCTACAATTTCAACACACATTATTTAATTTTAGATAATTAAATCTTAAGTCAAACTATTAAAATTATTTTAATTAATTTAATTTTCATACCTGTACTTTAAATTTTAGGTTTTTGAATTTATTTGGTAATAAATTTTATTAATTATCCTTAGATAAATGATTTATTATAATTTTGTATTTAAAAAATCGAAGTAAATTATATTAAACTAGATATAATTATGATAATTTATGACTAAAATAATTAATTTTTAATGATAGTTTATTACTATTAATTATAATTTAAATTTGAATCAATTAAATATACTTTACAAAAATAATAAAGAAAAATAAAAGAATAAGTAAAAAGAAAAAAGAAAAAGAATGTAGGAAAATAAATAAGTAGAGGAACAAATAATAAAAATAAAAAATAAAAAAGAATTAACCTTAGTAGTTAATATATTCTCTTTATTTATTATATAACATTACCATCAAAATAAAATAAATACATAAAATTCCCATGATGGTGCTAGGGCTGATAGATCTTATTCCCACATCGGCATTTCCACGAGAGAAGATAGTAGCTATCATCTTCAACTCCAGACGACGGAACAAATGCTCTGAACCATTTCTTCCTATGCACCGGCACCACCGCCGCCGCCATGCACGGCCTGCAACTCTTGCACTTGTTCTCACACCCCGGCGGCCTTGAACCAATCACCATTTTCTTTTGTTCATCCACCACATAACTCTCTCTTTCACGCTTCTCCAAATTCCCCGTTTCTTTTCCCCCTCCGCCGCTCCTCGGCCAAAACAACCCTACTGTACGGAACCAAAAAAAAAAGTCAACTTTATGAAGGAATTCTTTACATGACTTCCATTCTAATTTTCGTAAAGGTTATAGTACAATAGATATGTGTTTATTACTTATATATTAGTGGAAGGGGAGAATTTGACCAATCTAATTAGTGTCACACAAGAAAAGAGTGTTTGTAATGACCATTTGTTATGGGCATTCCAAATCGGTCTTAAAACATCAAAATTTTCATCGAACAATTCGTTAAAAACTAGTGAAATCCAAGAACAAAGGGAAGAAGGTAAAGAAAACCCAAGTTTTGAAATGGCAAAACAAGCAAGTGGGGTTTGATTAAGATGCTAAATTACCTGATTTAGAAGGAAGAAATGAGAGGAAGAGGAGGAGGAGGAGGAGGGCGAATTTGGAGGAAGAAGGAAGAGACATTGAGAAAGGCAGGTTGAAGTGATTGGAGGAAGGGAGTGAAACAAGAAGCAGGTTGAAGTGAAGGTGAGATGAGAAGCTCAAAAATGTTTCCTTTGGAAGAGACATAAAATAGGGCTTTGAAGGCATTTGGATTGGTTTTGGGAAACTGAGCTACTCTGACTTTAAGTTGTTAGTGAATGACTGAAGTGACCACTTCAATGTCTTGTTCTTTTTACTTTACAAACCCTACATGTCTTGTCTATTATAAGCTCACAATGCCTTGTTTCTTGAGCTCCCATTTCTCCATTATCATCATCATCATTCTTAATTCTTAATGTGTTTTAACCCTTAGATCTTTCTAACTCTACTGCTAATAAATATTGTCATTTTTAGACTTTAATTTTAGAGTCTTTCCTCAAAGTTTTTAAAACGCTATCTTACTAGTGAGAGGTTTTCACACCCTTATAAACAATGTTTTATTCTTCTCTTTGAGTTTTACCTTCCAGACTTACCTTCAAGACTTTTAAAACTCGTCTTAAAAACTTTGAGCAGAACGCGAAAGGAAAAGTCCAAAGCAAACAATATCCTAATGGTGGGCTCGACATGAACAAACCCCAATTGATCTTTCTGATTTTCGAACGCCCGCTCCTTTTCAACGACTCATTTCTCGTCTACTTAAAAACTTATACGCGTTAGATTTGACCCACGATTCAAGAATCTAAAACTAACCCTTTTCTACATATATCAACGAATTGAACCCCACAACAATGCTTTAAATTATTCATTCAAAAAAAAAGCATGGAGTTCAAGTAGATATCTGTCAGTTGGCAAGCTTCTCCCATGCAGGAGCAGCAGCACTGAATCAGGCAGCTAGTGAGTGCTACACTGCCACATAACAGTGCCAAATGAAGCTCCATTTCAGCTTCCCTTTCCCATTTTCACCTTTTCATCCCTTTCCTTTTGGGAATCTTTATGCCTTTTCAAAACCCAACTTCACATGTCAATTATAAGTTCTATGCTGCACAAATCCTTAAACATCAATTAATGAACGAATGCCTCCATGATTATCTTAAACAAACATAATTTCCATCAAAAACCAAATGACATGATTATCAAACCAATTTTAAAATATTTGTAACGAGATCTCTAATCCCTTGATTGATATTATATGTTAATCAGTTGAGTTATGCTTAAATTGACAACCACGCTAGTAAACTATAATTTATAAAACCTTTTGAAGATGACGAGAGATTCAAATCTCTAATCTCTTAAACACCTCCTTAAATTAGGGTTTAAAAATATATATATAGATAGGTGAGAAAGAGTGAAATGGTAATAAATTTAGTGGAACTTTATTCCTCCACCATTGGAAACACCATACATCTCTCTCTCTCTCTTCATATTTCCAAAGAACCCTAAATCTTTGAACACTTTTTTACCCAAACGCTCTCTTTTCATTCCCAAAACTTTTTACCTTTTTTACTACTAACATTCATTAGCTTCTGGGTAAATAGAATAGAACAGAATAGAGATGCAAAATGAAGAGTTTTTAACCTCTCTTCATTGTTGGAACTGCTGCAGCCTGCATGGGCTTTATTACAAACAACATTTCAAAAAAGATAAAAATATTTTTACTTTTACAGAAAACTTTATTCACTTTCAACTTTCTTTTCAAAAAAACTATCAATCAATTAACCATGGTTTCTTTTACTTCTCATAAAAGATGACAATCACTGTATTGTTCGGCTTTTTTCACTTGAAAACTTTCTGTTCAGCTCGAAATCAATTAAAGATGAATAAATACCTATTTTTCGTGTCCCGAATTTTTAACAACATCGATAATCGTGTTGTTCACTTATATATCCATGATCTTTTACTTAATTGGTTAAAGACGGCTAGAAATGAAGGGTGAGGATTGAGATCAAGGAAGCTTCCATCATCCATTTGGACGGCTAGGATTTTGATGAGATATGATGATTGATTGAAAAGACCTTGGCTGCACTCGTCACTTTCTTTAATAATAATCATAGGCCAGAAATCCAAGCAAAGGAAACGTGTCATGTTCTGATTGGTGAATATGGGCCCAAATCTCTTATTCTGACAACGACAGGTCTTATTCCCAGATTTATTTATTTAGGAAAAATTATGGTTGTGTCTTATCAGTCCTCACTTCTTAAATTGTCCTTAATTTCGTCAAACTTTCAAATGTTCCATAGACCAGGCAAGGGGAGACCCAGAATTAGAGGACCCGAGCTTATTTGGAGGTGTGATGTCCCACATTGATTGGGAAAGAGAACAAACCACCATTTATAAAGGTGTGGAAACCTTCTCCTAGCAAACACGTTTTATAGTCTCGATGAGAAGTCCTAAAGAGAAAGCCTAAAGAGGACAATATCTGCTAGCGGTAGATCTGGGCGGTTATAAATGGTATCAGAGCTAGACACCTGACGATGTGTCAGCCTTCTCGCTATTCCTCGAAGGGGGTAGACACGACGCGGTGTGCCAGTAAGGACACTGGGCCCCAAAGAAGGTGGATTTGAGGGAGGTCCCACATCGATTGGAGGAAGGAAAGAGTGCTAACGAGAACGATGGGCCGCGGAGGGGGGGTGGATTGTGATGACTCACATTGGTTGGGGAGGAGAACAATCTCGAGGAAGCCCGAAAGGAAAAGTTCAAAGAGAACAATATCTACTAGTGGTGGATCTGGATCGTTATAAGAAGAGATCAGGATCTAGCCAACCCTTCTTGTTCCCATGCATCCACCCGAAAATCTACCATTTCTTGCATGATTACACTCGACTTTTTAAGGTTGTGTGTACATTGTTCAGGACAATGGCTCTTCGTTATTGTAGTATATTTTGTACTTGGAACATAAATTTTCATAACTTAACTTTGGTTTTTTTTCAAAACACCATGTATTTATAGAGATAGAATTTATCGCTTATATATCTATGATTTTTTCTTCGATTAGTCAATATAAGACTTTGGTCAGACCAACTGTCCTTCCTTCCCTCAAACTAAAAACGACCATGCACTTATCCTAGCAAACTTCTCTTCAATGTCTACCATGACTTTTTTGTTCAACACCCGAAAATTCTACTAACAAGGCTTAATTACGCGTATGATTCCAATACAAAATATAGTCAACTAAATAATCTCCATTTAGTAGGTATGAACTAAATAATCTTTACCATTTTTAAAATTTTAATAAACCTTCTTCAATAATCCAAGTTTAGTTATATCATTTTATTAGTAGAGAATCAAATTTTTATTTAACAAAAATAATTATTATATTTACAATTATTTTAATGGAAGGTCGTAAATATACAAGATTATATTGGTTACTCATAAGTTAATTATTGAAAATTTTTAATATATAGTTGAGCATCATACGATAAATAAAGTATTTATTATAATTTTCAGAACCGTCAAATTTTCACTTTTTCTATGTATGATTTATCTTATTATAAAAATAAAAAAATATATTTTTTTTTATTTAGAGAGGTCCATTTAACTCTAATAAGTTTATATACTTCAGAGATTCCCACGAACCTAACCAAGTTTGTGAACCCTACCACTCTTGAAGTATGGGTGTGGATACGAGTCTAATTCCCCTCTCAGCTAACCAACCATTTGCCTCATTTGTTAAAGCATATTGAATATGTTATAATATTAAAGTTTAATTTTTTTTAATAATTATACATTATATTTTTACATTATACATTTTCGCTATAAAAAAAAAAGAAAAAATCATTCATTAGTTTTTTTATACCAATAATTTTCTTCAAAAAAATATTTCCAAAATCCGTGTCTAACTTTATTTAGAGTAAATCCTCCCCTTCGTAAAGCTTCGTTCATCTCTCGAACCAAGATCTCACAATCCCACTCACATGGGGGCTAACGTTTTCATTGGCACTCCGCTCAGAGTTTTGAGTGGTGTGCCAATTAGAACACTCGGTTTTCAAAGGAGGTGGATTATGAGATCTCACATTTGTTGGAGAGTAAATGAAACATTACTTATAAGGGTATGAAACATATACTTCATTTTTAAAATCGTGAAGTTGAAGGTATTACACAGACAATATAACGAAAAATTTGAAGAATGAATATAAATTAAATTAATTAATTTGTAGTTACAAAGAAAGAAAGATGAAGAACACTATGAAGAATAAAAAAAAAATAAAAAATAAAAAATAATTTTCTAGTTAGAAAGTGTTTGTGTGTGTGTATTTCAGTAAGAAAACCCCATTCTATTAGATCGATCTCTGAGAATGCCATTATAAAGAGCGACACGATTCTCCGGCATCTGGCTTCCTTGAAAACTGCTTCTGCATCTATTTTTCTTCAATTTTCTGGCCGTGATCTTCCTCTTCATCTCCTCCGCCTCCGTCGCTTTCTTCTTCACATTCTCTGCAAATTGAACCTTCTTCTGCTTCTTCTTCCGATCTTTATTTCCACCTGTTTGCAACGCAAAAATCAATAATTTCTGCTTTCTCTAAATATTTAATTTTAATTTTCTACCTGAACAGAGACAAGGCCGAAGAATCCGAACATCGGCCTGTCGGGTAGCGGCGCTGTCGCCCTTGTTATGCCGGAAATACGCCAGGATCATCAGCGTGCTCGACGCCACCATCGCTGTGGCGAACACCAAATTCGATGAGTTCAAGATCGATGGCATCCTCAAACCGAAGATTTCCCCAAAGGCATAAGTCGAACACAATTGTTCTTGTTCGTGTTCGTGTTGAAAGAGGGGATGAAAATGGAGTGAAGGTTTTTTGAATTTTGTGTTTGAAATATATCTTTGTTTTTGCACGAAAACGGTTGAAATTGGATGAAATAGAAAGAGAGGATAATGACAATTGAAGGGGAGAATTGATTTTGATTTTGATTTTGATTTTGGGGTTTTTTCTAATTTTATCGGATTTGGTTTGTTGGTTGCTTCGTTGGTATTTTTCTGATTTTGAGTGGCAGTCAAATTTGTGGGGTAAATATCAAATGATGTGTTGTTGTGTGTTTAATTTCATACAAAATCTTTTCTATTTTAATCTCTCTTAAGCTTTGAATTCCCTAATTTCGGATTTGTGTTAATATTTGGTTCATCGTTCTTGACGTCAAATTTTTTAAACTTTTAATTTTGTGTTAGATAGGTAAGCATAATATGTTGTTGACTATATATGACAATTATTGCTCGAGATACTTAGGGGGCGAGATGAGGTCATGCCTCCTATTTCAATCTTCATTTTATTAAAAAAAAAAAAAAACATGATTCTCGTAAATCTAATAATATTTCATAATAATAGATTTTAAAATGTATCTATTTATTAAGGAGAGGTTTCCACACATAATGTTTCATTCAGATCTTACACACTTGCAAAGAAAATAAGTGATCGAGTATTAGCAAGGTGGGAATTAGGATGGGGACGAAGAATATAGGTATGGAGTTTTCATGTCAAAAACTATGCATCAAGATTTTTACCCTATACCACACCGTTTTATAGTGGAGTATGTAGGTAAGAGAATCGATGCAATATTCCACGTCCTTTGAGCTTGATTAATAGACATGGTCGCCTATGTCGATGGGCATATATAGGAGAAACTTCCAAACTATACATAATGCATGCCCATAACTTAGTCTAAGATTATGTCAGAATTTAGTGCAACTTATTGTTAGTTTGGATGAGTCAAAATATTCATAATCAGTTAATATTTGAAGAATATATTAATTATGGAATATATATGAGATATTTTTAATCCGTTAATATTTTTATTTGATTAGTAGTATATTTTATTTTATTTTATTTTTAAGATTTAATTAGTTTATATTTTCCTTATTGGTAGGTATTATTTGGTATCTTGTATTCTACTCAAACGTTGTGAATATGAATGTAGATTGAACCTTCGATCCCAATTTTATTTCAAATTCTTAATTTTGTATTGTTTTCTTGAATAATAATATTTTCATATCTATTCATAATTGTTTGAGTGGTAGATATTGTGTCAGTTGATATTAGAGCCAAATTGATAACCAAGGGTTTGATATTACTACTCAACCAGATGAAGGGTGGAAGTGTCAAATCTATTCACATTTTTTTTTAGTGGTAGATATTGTGTCAATTGGTATCAGAGCAAGTTGGTACCCAGGGCTTGATATTATTACTCAACCAAATGAATGGTAGAAGTGATTCTAGGTATAGCTATGGAAAAGCTTGTTGACAATAATTATAATTATGGGAAGTTAGGTATGAAATCTTATCTATAGGGACAAGATTGGTGGGATTTAATTGGAGGTGATGACACACAAATTCCAGCAGATACTCCACATTTTGAATTAGGCCGAAAATGGAAGATCAAATGTGGAAAACATTTATTTACCTGTGAACTTTGATTAGCAAAGAATATATTGATCATGTTCATAATTTAAAGTCACCAAAGCGAGTTTGGGAAACACTAAGAAAAATACAGCTCGTGCAATCTATAGAGAATGAACTAGATGTGGTAACTCAAGGTAATTTTTTTGTTGAAAAATATTTCTTGAAAGTGAAAAATCTGTGTTCTGAAATTTTAGAATTAGATGCTAAGAAGCCATGAGTGATGCTCGATTATGACGTTATCTTATTCGTGGATTACGAAAAGACTTTATGCCCTTTATTTCTTCAATGAAAGGGTAGGCACAGCCCACAGTTACTGAATTGGAGAATTTGTTTTCTAATCAGGAAGCTTTGATTAAGCAAATGACTAACAACAACGAGTTTTCTCCAAAGTCAGAAGATGTATTGTATGTCAAAGATCAAAGGAGATAGAATTTTCATTCAAAGCCTTCATCAAGCAATGAGAATCAATTTAGAAGTGAGAAGTCGTAAAAAAAAAAGCAATTTAAACCTTGTTACAAGTGTGGAAAACCTGACTATTTTAAATGAAAAAGTCAAACCATATTAAGCCAAATTGCAGGAATTAGAAGCAAAAGTTGTACATGAAAGTCAAAGTTCTCCATATCCAATTTGGGAACACTGCTTAACCATTGAGGTTCTTGGCTAGCCAACAAAATGTGACTTCAGTTGTACATCAAGAATATGTCTCTACAAGTGCTCATGCCTTTATAGACTATAATGAAGAATGGATTGTCGATTCTGGTTGTTCTCATCATGCAACTGAAAACGAAACTCTTCTATCAGATGTTCGTCTACATTGTCAAGAGAAGAGTAAAGGGCCCAACAAAATGGCTGAATTGGAATCACGACTTTCTCAACTCCAAGAGGAACTTAAGAAAACAAGTGATCAACTGAGCACATCTGAATCACACAAAAAGCAAGCCCAACAGGAAGTAAAAGAAGCAAAGAAACAACTATCAGGTATGTCTGCAAAGCTTGAAGAATCCCAACAGCAGGTGCTTGAGCTCTCAGCTTTTGAGAAAGATCGTGTTCAAGAACTGCACAAACTTTCTCAAGATCGTGATCGAGCATGGGAGACCAAACTTGAAGTTGTTCAGAAGCAGCACGTAATGGATGTTGTTGCATTGGCTTCCGCCATGAATAAAGTTCAGAGGCTCAAGGTCCAGCTGAACATGGTGTCTGAGTCCGACCAAACCCGAAGTAACATCGCTGAGTCGGCACAAGTTGAGATGGATTATTTAAGAACACAACTCTTAGAGACACTCTCCCATGTTGAAAAACTAAAAAATGAGCTCAGAATCTCAAGCCCTCAACATTGCAAGGAAAAATCAAAATCAATTTGAAACAGAATCAAAGTTGTTAAAGCCTACAACTGTTTGTCATAGCTTTGGAGTCGCAGAAGAAGCAGAGGACTGCGACATGGGCGCTGTCACCAAATCATGGTATTGTCTTCGATGATACTTGGAAGATCGTGGATGAAAAGCAGGCTAAGGATGGGAAATTGAAGGAGGACAATTTCGATGCCTATTCTGATGTAGGCTAGTCGAGAGAATTGGGGCTGTCTTCGGAGCTTTATGAGAAGAGGGTTTTTTAGGAAGAGTCCAATCATGATTATGCTTCGTTTCTCAAGGAATTGGGAGTTTTGAGAACTCGAGCAAATCGAGCGTGGCTCAGAGAGGAGGTTTTTAATGGGATGATGGAGAAAAACTTGGTGTCCTAGTGGACGATGATCAGTGGCTATGCAAGGATGGGCAATTTAGAAGAAGCACGCCACCTGTTTGAGAATATGCCAATGAGGAATGTGGTTTCTTGGAACACAATGATAGCTGGATATGCACAGAATGAGAACTACGCAGATGCAATTGAATTGTTCAGGTAAATGCAGCGTCAAGGCGACCCGACACCCAACGATGTTACGCTTGTTAGCGTACTCTTCGCTTGTGCACATCTTGGTGCTCTTGATTTGGGGAAGTGGATACACAAGTTTATAAGACGAAGCAAGATGGAAGTTCCACCGATTTTTGTCGAAAATAAAAGCTCGTTCTGATACCAATTTGTTAGAATAACGCTCACGAAACTGTGAAGAAGATGTCGAGAGGGGAGAGACAAAGAGACAAGGAATTATACTTAAATGAGATAATTTCCCTCTCTCAATGCTCTACTTGCTCGGCTCTTTGCAATGAAAACAAATTAATTTATAGATATTCTTAAAGCTAAAAATGACCATCATAATGACATAATTTTCTAACCCATAAACCAACTCTTTCCTAAATTTATTATTGCCATTTCATTTTTTATTTGGGCATTTTCCTTTTACCGCTCAATTTCAAAAACTTACACTAAACTTAACTAAAAAATAAAACTACCCTTATCATTTAAGTTTATTCCAACAAAATGGAATTCACTCCTACCCACTTTTAGGGATAAAAGAGAGGTAGTTCCCTTAAGTATCGACTCCAAGTCTTGAACAAGGGGCCCCACTCTCTCATTGATCTGGGAGGGATTTGGTTTATTGGTTAGACTACAAACCAATTGTTCATTAGAGAATCAATGGGACATAAGGAACAAGAAGTAACTTCAAGGGGTAAAACGGTAGATTGACCCAACTCTAGTTACGAACAATCTATGAAGAATCGACTTACTGATCATGGTTATATCAAATGGACAGAAATATATCTATAATGAGGGGAGTGCAACTACTAGGCTACAGTGGAATGTCCAAGTAGTTAACGAATGTTGGTTAACAAGGTTAACGAGTTTAGCCGGTTAATCTTGAATCGTTGGAGCCCACAATCTATAGGTTCATAAGGTTCCCCTGCTAGCTCATATCGGATTAAACCATAGAATAGTGTGACGAGTGAGTTCGAAGTGTTCAAATTCAAATTAGAGAATATGCACTACATATATACGATATATTTAACAACATTTTTGTTTCATTTACGAATTAAACCAAAAGAGAGAATCGGAGATATTTAAATAAGATTTAAATATTTTAATCAAATATGTGTCGAAATTAATTGAGATTGACATTTGAATTAATGTTAAATATTAATTAAATAATTTAATTAATCATTTAATATTACATTAATTTAAAATTAATTGTTAGAATCAAAATGAAGAAAGTCAAAATGTTGACTTCACTCCATGAAAAAATTTATGTTTGAGTTCGTAGAATTTTGAGATGTCAAAATTTTGGTTTAACCAAACATGCATGCCAAATAAACCCCACAAATTTGAGCACTCAAAATTTTGTGATCTCAAATTTGCATGAACATGCAAATACGACTCTATAAATAGAGTGATCAAGGTACATGGAACTTCTTCCTTCTTAAAAAACCTTGAGAAAAATTCTCACAAACTCTCTCTTCATACATACTAAATCCTCACCGAATTCTACA